TCATAAAATGTAACACAGAGAGAGACTTATGGAGTATCAGAGCTGGAAAAGATCATGGAGACCATGTGGTCCAACCCTTTGCTTTTATCAATGAGGCTGTGGAGCCCAGGGAAGTTGAATGATTTATCCAGGTTACATGGCTACAAGGAGGGGTAGAGACTGAACTAAGAGAGACCTCCTTATGCCTAAGACGGTATATTTTCAACATTATCACATATGACTGATCATTTGGAAGCGTTTAAGCCAAAGTATGAACCATGTATCATAAATGAGAGAATCTGAGCAACAGAAGAGATCTTGGAGGTCATCTAGTGCCATTTCCCTCCTGATGCAAGAATCCTCTTGGTGACATCCTTGACAGATGACCACTAGCCTCTACTGGTTTAACTCTCATACCAGAAGCTCAGTACTTTACAAAGCAGTTTGTTTTGTCTTTTTGACATCTCTTCATTTTGGTAAATTTATCCCAACAAAAGGTCAAATTCATATTTTTAAAGTATCAGTCCAGAAGGAGTGAGGGTGGCCAGAGCGAATGGTATGGTATCAGTGATGGTGTGGCGTTTTACTCTTTTTCCTTCCTTAAAATAAAGATAATAATGCCTACTTTGTAGGGTCATTGTGAGGATTAGAACTACGGTTTATAAAGCATCCACCATAGTGGCTGCTTAAAAAAAGGAACCCACATTGTAGTTATTATTGGCTTTTTATCATCATGATTCCATTTTTTGAAATTACGACTGCTGGAGCAACAGAGACTATGTCTAATCCTGCAAATATTTGAAGGCAGTTAGCACGACTTTCTAGGTGTTCTCTTCTTTAGACTAAATATTCCCTGATTCTTCGACCATTCTTCCTGGGATGCATTTTGGATGCCTTCATTGCTTTCATTCCCTCCTATTTGTTGATTTCCCCCTGAAAATGTGGTGGCCAAATGTGGTCAGTCCGACGTGCTCTACAGTGGAATAATTACTTCCCTCGATCTGGACATCGCACTTCTCTTCTAATAACCTAGATTTATGTTAGCATTTTTGGAGGCCAGATCACACAGTTGGCTCAAGGAAAACCCGAGTCTACTATCCAGAACATTAGCTATGCCTCCCAACATGTGTCAGCCACAGAGTTGACAAGCACGATTTTTACATCTTCATCCAAGCTGTTGATAAAATTGTTGAACAGGAAAAGGCCAAAGGCTGAAACTCGAGGAATATCCCCCAATCCTTCTTGGCATATTGTCATCCATCCACTGGTTTTGTGACATTGTTTTACCAGCTCCAAATCTATGGAACTATACTAGCAGAAATAACTCAGCAAGATAGAATCACTCTTTGTGTTTTCGAAATTGGATATTTAATTTATCCAGAGGTAAAATGCCATTGTTTTATCAATGAAGACAGGTTTTGAACCCATAATTGGGAAAATGTGAACTCAGAAAATAATTTCATGTTTGAGTTACTATGTAATGCTTAAAGGAAAAAAAAATAGATCTCCTCTTAATATGAAATGATAATGCTTGCCTAATTGTTTATTTTTCCACAATGTTTTAAAGTTACCCTCTGGGTGTGGGAGAAGGAGGCTGGAGAATTTGCAGATTTCATGTGTGGGGGAGAAAGGAGGTTATTGAAGAATTAGAATATAACTTTTTGAAGCTTTTTCTATCTCTGGTGGAGATCACAGAGACAAAGAAATGTCTTAAAAATGGCGGTGGGGGAGGGTGTGATGTATTTTTCTAGATAGTCTTTTTTATTCTTTTTAATGATTCTCAGACACATACTTCTTTCTCTCATTTAACATGCTTTACTCTGAAGAAATGAAACCAGTTTATTTGTGCTGCAGCACAAATCAGTTTTTCTTGGTTTTCGTGGCAGAGATAAAGAATGGTTTGTCACCACCATTTGAGCCATGGTGCCCAAAGACTTGAAGGTCACCTCTTGGTAACTTCCTCCGAGGAATCATTTAATATTTTACCAAAGGCTTTGCTTTCCAATCTACATGACATGTTTGTGGCTTTCTTCTTAGTGATGAGCCTCTCTATTTCTCTAGCCCAGAATCAAAGAAGTACTTTAACCTTCTAAAACTCTGTTATTGTGAACATACTTTGAGATTTCAAGGTAAATAGACAAGAACTTAGCACTCTGCAAAATTGTCCAGGGCATAGAAGATAAGACTTCATCATATTGAATGTTCTAGGAATGTTATTTCGTGTTTCACGCATTCGTTCCGTATTTATTGAGCACCTATTGTATGCCAGGCACTGACTTAGACATTATTGACACAATGGGGAGTAGAGTCAGATTTAGTCCCTTCTCTCGTTATGCTCATATTCTTGAGGAAGAAACAGATATTAATCAAATAATTGAAAACAATTGCAAACTTGTGGAAAGTACTACAAAGGAGAGGGAGATGGCGCCCATCACTGGAGAGGTCAGGAAAGTCTTCCTCACGCGCTGCTTCATTTGAGATTTACAGGTGTAGTCAGAGGAAGAACACAGGTAACAGGAAAGAGTATACTCCAAGGCCCTGGGCTGAACTGGATTATGGTCATTTCAAGGGCAGAAAAATTCCAGTCGGGTGGAGTAAATCACAGAGAGCAAGAGTGACCGTGGTGTGAGATGAGCTGGGGAGGTAGAAGGGTTCCAGACAGCCCTCGGAGGTCACACGAGGAGGGCCTCCAGTGTCTTCTAAACCATGGGAAGCCATCCAGAAAGCTGGGGATGGGGGCCGTGTAGGCATGGTCAGTTTTGCCTTTTGAGATCACTGTGGCTATAGTGCGGGAAAGAGGAGAAAGGGAAGCCAGAGTGAGTGACAGGTGACCAGCTAGGAGACCACTATGTAGTCCAGGAGAGGAGATGGTGGTGGTTGGGTGTAGGTTGGTGGAAGGAGAGATGGAAAGATAGAAAGAGATATAGGACGCTGAAGCCGAATTTGTAGTATTTGGAGACTGCATATGGGGGTGATAGAAAAGACATATCAAAGGTAACTCAAAGGAAGTTTATAGATTTATATTCTTTTTTGTGAAGTCAAAGATTTTTTATTTGAAAAATGAAATTGTACAGCTTTATTCAAAACTTTTGGTAGCATAGCACAACAGAAATAATTCTAAAAGAGATTCAAGGGCTATTATTGACAAAGTAGGTGACTGTGAGCAAGATGAAAATCTTTTAGTATCTTTGAGAATCTAAGCAATGGAAAAAATAATCCTTACAATTGTTTACTTCGAGACCTAATAAAGACCTGGGGAAGTATGTTTGTTAAGGTTCGCTTTTAAAAGAAATAACACGATTATTTTTATTTTTATTATTTTTAGTTCCATTCTCTATGTCTCAAGATCCTATAAAAAAAGAGCTCAAGAACTCAAGCATGTCCCTGCACTGCCACCCCAATACAAATCACCACGTCCTTTCATCTTACTTTAACCAACCACAATATTTTCCCACATCAGAAAAGCCTTCCAGGGTCGAAGAGGAGCTCGTGGGCCCTGTGTGTCTGTATGAGCCCGTTCATGCCTTTGGGGAACCCACGACAACACAGTCGGCTCACAGTCTAAGCCAGGTGCCCGGTTTCCGTCTGGACTCCTGACAAACTGTGTGGTCAGGAGTTAGAAATCAGAAACCTGGGAAAGGTGCGGCGTGATGGACACAGCCACCCCAAATACCCTGTATGTTATCACCATCATTTAACACGTAGTGCAGGAAATCCTGTTCTTTGCGGAAGAACTTCAAAGAACCGCTTCTAGTTCTCCTGGGTAACATTTATTTTTTTCTTTGCTAACCCCAAAGCGCAGACAGATATATATATTTTCCCTCTAGTAAATTGCTAGTGACACTTCATTTCTTTCCTGCCATCCTCAACCCATTGTCCAACTGACCTCTCGAATTTTCATACTCTGCTAGGCTGAAGCGCTGTTCCTCGCAGTTTACAGAGGCCCATTTATTTATTTTGCTTTGCCCTGTACTTTTTCTTTCTTTTCGAGGTTCTGACTTTTTCACATTTCAGCCCCGCCATGTTCATCAGCCCTCTTCAGCCTAAGTGTGAATCCTATTGACCCAGTGACTTTCTTTTCTAGGAAGAGTTGTCTCTTAAGCCACTTTGCCTTGAGTATTTTACCTTACTTTTGAATTTTTAACAAAGAAGCCTTTAATCCATTCATCAGAAATAAATACACGATATGAGGTCCCTTCAGCGACTTAGTTGTCCCGTTTGTTTCTTCGCTCATTTATTTATACGATACCCCTCACCAAAATACCTACTATGCTCCAAGCACCATGGGATGGAATTGTGAACGCAAACATTTTACATTCTAGAGGAAAAGACAGGGAGCAATCAATCACTGATTGACAGACAATCAATCATTATTCTATATCATGATTCCATAAAATTGTCATGGACTGATTTTATGGAAATACAGCACAAAGTTGCAACTCTTGCTCGTGTGTTATTGGACCTCAGACACCCCATCGTGTGTTCCGGCCATCCATCCTCATGCCTCAGGTTGATGGGCTTGGATCATAGGTACCCAGATTATGATCTGGAAAACTAGTAGTTTCCTGGGGGAAAAAATAGCGATTGGCTACTCTTATAAGACTGAAACAGAAAAAATTACCTGGTGTGCTTGTTACTCAAAGCAGGATGCCAAACGACTCTTCACTAAATCACAGCATTATGTACTTAACCACAGAAATCGTTTTCAAATGCAGCATATATCACACCAAGTCAGAGAAGATATGGGCTAAACGTCCCTGATGTAAACCTCACATCAGGATGGCGGCGGAGTGATTAGTGAACTTCAAGGTATTTTCTTATGTGCTTTACTTCTAGGGTGAAGGGTTATTTTTCATCTTCTCATAGCTGTAAGTTATAACAAGAAGAATGAACCCATGGCTTGCCAGAAGCCATAACTCTCTATTAGGTTGACATGACCAGATTCCCAATTTTGGCCTTGGAGAGCTTGAGAATAAAACACTGACTTCTTCTGACCTTTTCTCTCCGTCTTCTCTGGGCAGAATATCTCGATGCATAACACAGTTGGTGGGGCCATGGCGGGGCCCGGAGCTCACCAGCTCGGCAGCACCCGGATGCCCAACCATGACACCAGCGTTGTGATTCAGCAAGCCATGCCGTCACCCCAGTCCAGCTCTGTCATCACGCAGGCGCCTTCCACCAACCGCCAGATCGGGTAAGGGGACCTCCTCGGCTGTCTCTGGGTCCTGGCTGGAGCTCAGGGAATGTTCTGGATTTTCTCTTTGTTTCTAGAACTCGGATTTCATAAGGCAGAAGTTGGTTTTCTTGGCTGGTGTGCTACTGCCTGGAGCTCAGGGTGATATTTTTGATGGGAAACGGGAGAGGAAGTCTCTGGTTGGTGGAAGATATTTGACCCTGACTTTAGGAGGAAAAGCAAGTCATTCCATGTCATTGTTTCTTCTAACAAGATTCGTGAATTTTAAGATATTGCAGGACCTCAGCATAGTTCTCAGGTCAAATACTTAAGGATGGTGGAAGGAAGTTTCACTGGCCCCGCCTCCTCTCCAGCAGAGTATGTCCCTCCCTTCCTGGGATTTGCTAAGCCTGTCACTTGTGTCTTCTGTATATTTCCACAGTCCTCCGATCATTCTTCCTCGCTCCTCTTCCTTGCTAATACTTCTTTGTTAGCCCTCCCCTCTCTGTGCATTGGTCCACATTCATTCTTGAAGCAGACGAAACAAAGAAAGCGGGCCTTCTCCCTCTCATTTATGTATAAAAGATAATACCGATGTATTGGGAGAAATTGGTAGTACGGTCCCAGCCCCTGTGTATTATGGGATGGAAAGAGCTCTCACTTCTAAGTGTTGTGCCGTAGCTCTCGCTCCTGGCCACTCAGAGCGTGTCTGAGGCCAGTGGTGTGGGCGTTACTCAGGAGCATCTTAGAAATGCAGCATCTCTGGCCCAGCCTCCTTATCTCTAGAATGAGGGTGGTATCTCTTCTTTCTACCCTCACAAGACTGGAGTAAAGAGGAAATAAAAGATTCAAGAGCACTCGGGTTTGGGGGGGGAAAAAAGATAATAACTTAAGCCAAAGAGTCATGATAAATTTATATTGCTGGATATATTGCTGATAAATTTATATTGCTGAAAACTGGTTGCTCTATGTTCCCAGAGTGGTCTGTTTAAAACAGGATAGGGAGCCTGCTGTGTTTGGTGTATGCATCAGAATTTAGCTTGAATGTTCAGTTGAATATGCGATATGGAGATTTAAAAAAAATTGGAAGCTAGCCCGCGATTTGTCAGTGTGTCTTTTCCACTTTATTGTTAATGCTCGTAAGAATTACAGACCAAGAGTGAGCGCTAGTACGGCGCTGGCTTCTTCCTCCTGCAGCTGCTCTAGAAGAGATACCTTGCCTCTCACCTTTCTCAGCTCATCAGGATGGGTTGTGGCATGTGAAGACCCACCTTAACCAATAAGAGTTGTGGGCAGTGACGGTTTTGCGAGTTTGCCGTGGGTACATTTGGTTTCCCATTCAAGACATAGAAAATTAACCCTGCCGTTTGAATGCCTGGCTTTGTTTGAAGAAGCCAACACTGAATTAGCAAGTGTCTCCGTTAAAGATTTCCTTTCTTCTCAGATGACCATGGGAGCAAATGTTGCTGCCATCTAAAGCAAGAACCTATAATATTCTGAGAGGGTGGGGCGGGTTTGTTAAAGACGGCATCTTAATTTCAAGGGACTCCTTCACTCTAGTGGCTTGGCTTTGGGCAGACAATTCACAGTTAGGCCAGCTAATTATAATTATTTTATTTTTCTTTCAAGGGGAACAAACATAAAATGTGCTCGAGTTTACTAGCGGTTTTACAGCATTCCTTCTCCCCTGGAGTCCTGCCTCTCCCCGACCAGTCCCCAGCTACCCTCTTGGAGGCCCTCAGTGTTTGGCCATTGTTAGCACAATGCTGGTTTTTGTGAAACAATCTTTTAAGGGCGAGCACGAAATTCTACGATGGCTGTTGACTCTGTTGATCATTTACCCAGCTGCCCCAGGGCTGTACAGTTGGGTGACATTTCTAAGCTGTGTCACTATGCCTGGCTGGGTGGGGGTGATTTCCCGGGACATGTGACCTCCTGACCCACTCCATTTTCCCATTTATTCCCAGTCCTGGGGTGTTGTATGTCTCTCCTGGTGTGTTCCAGGAGATAATTGTCACTTTTAGGACTCTGTCTCATTGCCAGACTTGAGGGAGGCTGTTTCTTTTCTTCAGATTCTTCCCTGTCACGCTAACCATGTTGATTTCAAACCACACATCCTGTCATTTCCATTTTCTCCATGTGACCCATCCAAAACCTTGCCCGGATGATTGTGGGGACTCAGCAAGGAACAACCCAACCCATCTCACCAGTGGATTCGGAATAAAACTCTAGGTGGTAACATTTGGGGATGGTTGACTCTTTTATTTCTCTCAGCAAAGAGGAAATGAGTACTTATTTTAAAACATGAGTTCCCTCTGGAGACTGTGTCTTTAAATGAGCATTTGAAATTGCAGATAGATTTTTTTTTTTGAGGCTGCACAGAACCATATTGTAGTAATATTCTGATTTTTATCACAACCTCAAATATTTAAGTGTCAAAATCTGGCCAAGCCACCTGCAAATGTTTGCCATGGCAACTGGCCAACAAAAACAGCAAACAGCAATGAAAGTCTTCATTCGAGCTTGCGCTAAAGCTACATCCAGCCAGAGGGGCTGGGACCCACCTGTGCCCATGCACGGCACTCTCTTGCTGTGGCCAGTTCCAGTTGTGTTCACAACTGGAACTTTGTGGGAGAGGAAGGGGCCGCCTGTCTCCTGCTCCCCATCTTTCCTCCTCTTTCACCAGTGTTCGGCTTCTGCTGCCAACCCCACTTTTGCTCTCCTTTGTGACCCCTCCTTTCATGCTGTATTTAAGCTTAGAGGCTTGAATATATTGGGAGCGGTGCTGACGTGAAGGACTGGGTAATGGGAGCAGTGCCCGTTCTCAGGGAAGATTTGGGGAACAAAGTATATGCCTCCTTGTGAGCATTTGATTTTTATCCTTTCTGAGCGGGCGCTCAGCCAAAGTAGACCGATATGGTTGGAAATGCAAAAATCTGAAGAAATAAGGTTGACAGTAGATAGATAAGCAATGTGGGTACTTCCCTTCCATCTCTTTTCACCCTCTACCATGCCCCGTGCCCAGTTCTGTCCAAGTAGAACTGCTATCCCGATAGAAACGGAAGGTGAGTATAAATATCCCAAATTGCACTTGTGTGGTTAGGCAGGCTAGAAAAACACACAGCACTAGAGAGTGTGGGAGGCATCCCCAAACTAGTGACTACTTGTGCTTAGTCAAACTGGCAGACGCTCTGTCGGGAAGAATGTATTTGGCTGATTGATGGTAGCATTTTAGGAGATAAGTTTTCCAGATTGGAAAAAAAAAAATAGCGAAGCATGGGCTGTAGGGGAGCAAGTGAGATGGAAAACAAGCATGTGTTAAATATAGATGAAATCGATTCAGCCTTGGACCAAATATGTGGCAGATTCCAAGATCTCCACTCTAGTCATTTTTATTAGCTATCATGTAACAGGCTCATTAATTCAGGATCAAGCCAGCAAAGCCTGAGAAAAATAGTAGATGAGCAGGTAGTGGTAGCACAAATTCTCTCTTTCTCTGTCTCTTATTCTCTCTCTCTCTCTCTCTCTCTCTCTCGCTCGCTCGCTCGCTCTTCTCATATGAGACATTTTTGTAGGAGCCAATAATCAGTTGATATAATCTTAATAGGTCCCAGTTTCCCCAAAGAAGACTAAAGAAGACTATTTTTTTTTACGGAGTAAATGATAATGGGTAATTCATGCTCGGTAATTCTTCAGAAGGGCGATGAAGATAACGTGGAGAGTGGAATTCTACAAGAATAGATATCAGTACAGAGTTCTCACAGCTCATGGGAGGCACTGCCAAAATATTCCACAAATTTTCTTCCTGTATTCTTCCTGTTTTCGAAATGTCCTACAGATGTAATTTTCTGTACTGAGTCGGGAAAATATATAAATTGGTTAAATTATTGGTGAAAATTATTTGGCAGTAATTGTTTACAATAGGAGTATGATAGGTCTAACATCAGAATATACAGATGTTCCTACCAAGACTGCTATTCGGAAAAATGATATCTGGCCCATTATGGAATATTCTAGGTAATATACCAGGAAACTTGAAAACCTATTCAACAGCATGCACATGTGAAGCCATTTATATATGTAACCTCTCCCTGATTTTATACCAATTAGTCCTGGCACATATATGTTCATGTGATGTGTAGCTATGTTATCTATTTGGTCATAAAGACTACCTGCATGGGGCTATAGCCAGGCAATATAGATCTAATACTAAGCCAGAAACTTATATAAAATATTGTAGAAGCAAATTTTGTTTAGTGTAAAAATAACAAGGAGCTGATGCCCATCAAAAATTGAACTTTCTATCATCCTTTCTGTACCTCTTTCTCTCCTTTCTCTTTGCAATCCTTGACACTACATGTCATGCAGAATATCAGGGGTTGCTCAATGAACATGACCAAGGAAAATTAATAATAATCATAATAATGATAGTAATAGTAGTAGTAGTGGTGGTGATGGTAATAGTAGTACCAGTAGTAGTAGTAGTAGAAGAAAAAGTAGAAGAAGAAAAGAGGAAGTTCTTTTCCTCTTCATCTTAGAACTTGTTAATGTCAAAAGTCTTGTGGCTTTGTTGTATGAGTTCGTGTTGCTGCTTGAGGTGTCCCTCGATATAGATACGTTGATGGATTTGAGAGTTGTTGTGTCATTGTTGCTCTAAAGCAAGAAAACAAAAAGGAGAGAGGTCAGTAAACGACAGGCATGGTGCAAAGAAGACTTCAACAATAAGCGGTTTATGGTTTAAGAACGTGCTAGCCCTGTAGGTGCATAGCCGTATAAATCCATTATTAAGAGTTTTCTTAAACTCCACAAACCAAGAGCATGATTAAGACTGCCAACCACAAGACAACCGTCACTGCCCACCACAGGCTAATGCTAGCGACATCCAGGCCAGCCTTCTTCCTGAAGAGGCAGCAGGCCAGCAGGTCCCAGGTTGTCACTGGCCCACAGCCCTTCCCCAGGACAGCTCGAAGCCCTCTTTGAGTAATTCAGACCAGAAGCCATTATTTCCTGCTTTGTGTTTT